ATAGAATAGAATAGAATAGAATAGAATAGAATAGAATAGAATAGAATTCTTTTATTGGCCAAGTGTGATTGGACACACAAGGAATTTGTCTTGGTGGAAATGCTCTCAGTATACATAAAAGAAAAGATACATTCGTTAAGAGTCAAGAATCATAAGGTATAACACTTAATGATAGCCATAGGGTACAATAAGCAATCAAATCATATTAGGAAACAGTCAATATAAATTGTAAGGATACAAGCGACAAAGTTACAGTCATACAATCACAAGTGGGAGGGGATGGGTGATAAGGAGTGATGAGAAGGTTAATAGTAATAGTGCAGACTTTGTAAATAGTTGGACAGTGTTGAGGGAATTATTTGTTTAGCAGAGTGATGGCTTTCGGGAAAAAACTGTCCTTGTGTCTAGTTGTTCTGGTATGCAGTGCTCTATAGCGTTTTGAGGGAAGGAGTTGAAACAGTTTATGTCCGGGATGTGAAGGGTCTTTATTGGATCATATCAGTGGCAGCAAGCCATTAGGGGACAAGGACAACAAGAAAGAGTACTGCACTCAGATTTGACCTCAGTTGTTGTTTTTTAATGTATTTCCAACAGGTTTTAGCAGAACTGAAGGAGTATGCCACTGAAGTGGATGTAGACTTTGTACGCAAAGCCGTCCGTGCCATTGGACGATGTGCCATCAAAGTTGAAGTGAGAATCTTTTTTCTTCCCTGATTTTGCTTTTGTGTTTTAATTGCTACAGCCGGCTGAACTTCAAAGGTTATCCTTTGAAAACAAATAGTGTTAAAAATAAAGTTGACATCATATATGTGGCCCAGATGTAGATCACTTGGTGTGACACACAAGCATCACAGTCAATTCTGGTGGATTCATGATGTCAGGTGTTGGAAGATGAGGTCAAAAACAGGAAATGAGGTAGCTGCAATTGTGAGATCAAATCTCTGCCCCTTTTTATATGCTTTGAGGTTGTTGTTGTTTTTCCTTTGACACACCTCCTTGTGGGGCACTCCTGCACCAAAAATATAGTTGGGGAATAGAGTATCTGAGTGTAGTAAATTCTTTTTCTTACTCATCCTAAAAGAGAACATTTTCAGCATTTTGATCTTCACTTCACTCTAAAAAACATATACGTCAGCTTTCAGTCCTTTGGGGAATCCTGTCTTTTGTTGTTCTCTCTGCTTTCAGAGCCCTTGATTTAGACAACACCGTTCAGTCAGCAGGGAACTGTTATAATTTAAAATGCATTTATCTCTGGAACAGACTGACCTCCTATACCATGACCAACCCTTCCAAACTCCCTAGCTGTTTTTCTAACAGTAAACATTATTTGATGTTTATTTAGCTTAACCAGCATAGGAGCCAATACTGGGAAATGCTTTTTCTTAGAAAAAGGGCAAATATTTGGGGGTGAATCAGGAAGATTTCATGTTCGATTAATTCAGCAGTTAGCAATTTCGAATGAATTACTATTTAGATGATGAACTTCTAGTTTCTAAGACAAATAAGAGAATGCCTGGCTTTTCCGTGGGATATAGGTGCTCTGCTATTAGGCTATGCAAGTATTTCTTGACTTACAACCACAGTTGAACCCAGTACGGCTGTTGCTAAATGAGACAGTTCTTAAGTGAGTTTTGTCCCATTTTACAACCTTTTTGCCACAGTTATTAAGCGAATCACTGCAGTTGTTAAGTGAATCATACAGTCATTAAGCAAATCTGGCTTCCTCCATTGACTTTGCGTGTTGGGAGCTAGCCAGAAATACATGCCAGTTGCCCAGTGCCTGGATTTTGATCATGTGACTGTGATAACAGTCATAAATGTGAAAACAGGTCATAGTTGACTTTTCACTGCCCTCGTAACTTTGAACAGTCACTAAATTAATGGTTGTAAGTTGAGGGCTAAGCTGCAGTGGGTTTTTTTTCTTCTCACACATGGAAACCTACTAAACATTGTGGCATTCGAAATAAAGGAAGCTACTTTATTTGCCATAGGGCTGTAGTTTAGGTAAAGGTAAAGGTTCCCCTCATACATATGTGCTAGTTGTTTCTGGCTCTAGCGGGCGGTGTTCATCTCTGACAAAGCTGAAGAGCCAGCGCTGTCCAAAAACGTCTCCGTGGTTATGTGGCCAGCATGACTAAACGCCAAAGACACATGGAACACTGTTACCTCCCCACCAAAATAGTCCCTATTTTTATACTTGCATTTTTACATGCTTTCAAACTGCTAGGTTGGCAGAAGCTGGGACAAGTAACAGGAACTCACTCCATTACACAGCGCTAGGGATTCGAACCACCGAATCCCAAACTCTCTGATCGACAAGCTCAGTGTCTTAGCCACTGAGCCACCACGTCCCTTAGGGCTGTAGTTTAGGGTTAGGTAATTGGTTGAGACAGGTGGGCTTCTCCAGGGTCTCTATCAAAGATGCTGGGGACTAGTTGTCATTGCATTTCTAGGGCAATGATTCATGTTGGACAGACTCTTGTATCAACAATGGTTTCTACTAAACTGGAATATTGAAGTGTATGACAATCATGGGAAAAATGCCTGTCTTCAGGAAAGGCTAAATGTCAAGTCTCCAACTAATGAACTCAAGCAAATCAGAACCCTGAGACTTGGCTCCTTCTCAAAGGTCTTCTTTAATGAGTACATCGTATCAGCACAGCTTCAATGGAAAACCAAATCTAAATCTTTCCCACTGTTTCAGTATAATTAAACTAGGAAATAACCCCACCCCCAGGTATCACAGATCACACTGGCCAATTGAGTTAATTGGCACTCCTTTCCCAACCTTACCTGTTGCCAGTGGAGATGACCTCGGTTTCTCATGAGAAAGCTCTTTGTTGTGTCTCATAATGCATTCCAACCTCCTTCCCCCCTATGTGGCAACTGAGGAGCAGAGAAATGACTGCAGCCAGGTTCAGTTTGAAGTTGACACTGATTTAGTTATAAGGCTGTCGATATGTATCGTGACAGGTGAGGAAAGGTAGTCCTCTCTGTTCATATGATTGGAAAGAGGCATGACATAGAGATGCACAGTCATTCATTCATAGACTGATGCTGTGCCTAAGACAATTTCTATAACTTAAAAAATATTAATGGTGTTAGAAGCACAAGTATTTTGAATATAGTATGCAATCTCCATTAATCAAATATAGACCAAAAATGTCTCATTTCATGCCACTTAGGGAAGTTTGCCATGCAAGGATAATTTCTTGTGAATGGGTGGAACATGACCTCTGCTTTCTGCTTCTAAAAAGGGAGGTCTTTACGTAGTGATGGGTTTTTTAAGCCAGGAAATCACAAAGATTGTCTGGCTGCCGTTGTGGAAGAATCAGCCAACTCTGTGTTGTTGCCCAGGGAACACCCAAATTTAGGATTCCTACACTCTTCCAAAGCAGACAGTGTGACATATTGTGGAACAGTGCCCTCTGAGTGCTTATCAGGGAAACCCCAGATATTTTCTGTATGCAGCTCCATCATGTATTGACTATATAAACAGTCTGCTTTTGAATTTATGAAAACAATAGTTTGATATCTGTTCCTTGAGAATGTAATCATGATGTGCTTTTTAACATTTTTGCCATCCAATAAATAAATAAATCTAAACAGGGAGTGGATATGATACGTGTAGGTGAAGTTATATAGAATTGTGAGGCATATCCAGTTAGCCTTTATATTCGAGCTGACCTTCTTACTTGAAGATCTCTGTTCTGCTCTATCCTTTTTGACAGCAATCTGCTGAGCGTTGTGTGAGCACACTTCTGGATCTCATCCAGACTAAGGTCAACTATGTAGTGCAGGAAGCCATCGTGGTCATCCGGGATATCTTCCGCAAGTATCCCAACAAGTAAGTACAGCTACCAAATGAAGGGTGCAGAAGCAACCTTGCAGATAATAATTGTGGCTGACCTAAGGGGTGCCAATTTGTATGGTCTTTAGGTGACCTAGTGGAGGACAGGGCAATAATTTGAGAAAAATTAGGTGGCATTGACTAATTATTCAGAATCAAAAAGTGGGAAGGGAATTTAGAATTTGTTTAGTCCAACTCCTGTTCCATTAGAGGAACATCTGACAGATGATCAGCCATACACCCTGTGAAAAAGAACTCAACACTTCAAGTGGCAACCTATACTACAAATTGACAGCTTGTACAATCAGGAAGTTCCTCGTGATGTCTAGGCTGAACTTTGTGGTTTTAACCCATTGGTTCTGGTCCTTCCCTCTGGGGCAGTAGAGAATAACTTCACTTGCATTTCATAGCTTTTTAGAGTCTTCATCATATTTCCCCTCAGTCATCTCTTCTGTATACAAAATATACTTGGATACATTAAATGTTCTGCAAAAAGCTTGGTATATCTGGACCCCTCATCATTTTGGTAGCTTTCTTTTGAACGTGTTCCAATTGGTCAATATCCTTTTTAGACTGGAGAATCCAGAATTGGACACAATACTACAGGTTGTATCTGGCCAGGACAAAATAGCACCCGAATCACAATGATGGCTCATATTGAACTTGTGGTCAACAAGGATAACCAGTTTCCTTTGACATGTACCACTGCTAAAACCTGTTTAACACTAATAATAGATGACCTGAAATACTAATAATTATTTGAGAACTGGAAAGCAAGCATGGGACACATTGGGGTGGAATGGTTTGCGGAGTCTTCAAGTAGACAAGGGAAGTTACTTAATTAACAGAGGGTTGGGGATTATTAAAGCGGATGTAACAGTATTTAAAACCAGGATCTGAAGACTTTGGAGCAAAAAGAGGGTGAATGCAAGGTTTGTTTTGGGAGAAAAAAAACTGAGAGCACAAGAAGGTTTGTCAAGAATAACCTTATCCAATCTTGCCTTGGTTAAATTAGGTATGAGAGTATCATTGCCACACTTTGTGAAAACCTTGATTCTCTGGATGAGCCAGATGCTCGAGCGGCAATGATCTGGATTGTGGGCGAATATGCCGAGAGAATTGACAATGCAGATGAGCTCTTGGAGAGCTTCCTGGAGGGCTTCCATGACGAAAGCACCCAGGTAATGCTAATCTCTCCATATTCCTGTCTCAATTCTTTTGAAGGAAGAAACTGGACCCTTAATTTCAGCAGTTTGATTCTGGCCAAAAGCTTGCCTGTGTTTCTCTTCCCACAAGCCGTTGCTTCTCCACTGTGCTACGTTTAGTGCAACTGCTAGTGCAACTTTTTCCTATTTGCCCTCTGGATATGTCCAACTATCCCTAATTCCCAGCACCCAGGGAAGAGTTTGCTTTTCATTAACTCTTTTGAGACAGAAGTGGGATTTCATCTTTGTGGCCACATATTTGCCAAATTCCAAGTAGATTCATATCTCTGACTTTGGCAGGCAGCTGTCACGTCATCCCTGAAGGAATTTAAAAATAGCTTTGCAATGTAATCAGTATATTATCTCGACAGAGAACGGTCTGTCTTCGTTAATTGTATTTGTCTATCATCCTTTTACTGACTCAGCTTTGTTCTTGCTTCTCAGCAACTGATCAGAGCATCTCCCCCCGCCTTTTTTTTTCATGCCTCAGCATTACTTTCCCCCTGCAAAGTGTTTTGCATTAATCTATTACTCAGGTTCCTCAGCCCATCTCTCTTACTTTTGTGTAGCTTATGCAGAAGCCTCAGTAATGTATAGATAATGGGGCATCATGGTTTAGAGCAATATAACCTAAGAACCAGCTGCTCAGGGGTATGGAATATGGAAAACCTATTTTTTCCCCCAAACTTGCTTACTGCTACCTGGAGATGTGATATTGGTTGGCAATTGGGGGAAGCAGGATGCTAGGTTAAATTTAGAGCTGATCCCATAAGGCTTCTTTTCTTCATTAATTGCAAGAAGAGTTGCATCACACAGATGCATAACTTTTCTGTCTTTCTTTAAGCCTTATATCCCACTGAAGGCAATATTCCCCGAGATCAGCTTATACTAGAAATGTAATTTGTCCATCAGAAACATTCCTTATTTCTTTGTTCTTGCTTTTCCTCCAGGTGCAGCTCACTTTGTTGACTGCCATTGTAAAGCTATTTTTGAAGAAGCCTTCTGAAACACAGGAACTGGTCCAGCAAGTGCTGAGTCTTGCTACCCAGGTAAGGCACAGACCCTGTTCACCTGCCTTTCCTACGCTGAAAAGTGTTAGCATTACTGTTATGCTATCAAAAGATTCTCCCAATCCTTGGTTGGTTATATTGTTTGCGGTGACATTGGAACCATGTATCATCTTCCCTTTCCATTGGGTTGCTGGTAACATTTGAATAATATCAACATGGAATGGTCAGCAATGCGTAGCTCATTTCCATGCCAGTATCTGTACAACACAGTCCTTTCAGCAGTTCCAAGAAGGCTCCATACCCATTTGCACTACTCAGGTGACCCTGAGGACATAGATAAACCTCCAAGTGGCCTCAAGGACTCGCTAAAAGAATGCAAATGACCCGCTGTCTTCAAGGAACATAAATCCTTCCATTCCCCACCATCCATTCAGAGCTGAACAAGCTTCTTAGATGAGAAGTGAAACATTTCAAAGAAAAACCAGAAAGGACAGTTGCCTCTTGGAAAAAAAGCACCTTTGGGTGCTGGTAGTTTCCTTTCAAGCCCTTGGTGGCATGAGGCCAGGTTATTTGATAGACTGCCTCTCCCGATTCTATTGAATCCAGCTGGAGAGGCATGCTACATGTCCCATTAAAAGGTGCCATCTGGCATGATTTAGGAGGAGAGCCTTTTTGTTCTGGCATCTGTTCTTTGGAGCATCATCTCTCCAGAGATTAAAATAGCCTGACCCAATTGGCCTTGAAAATGTTCCTGTGTCACTGGGCACGAAGGTTGGAATATGAGGCAAAGCCATGAGATGGTTAGGGTGATAAGTTTGGGGAAAAGAGAATCTGTGGCCCTTCATACGCTGCCAAACAATAGTTTCCAGTAGCCCAGCTAATGGTAAAAAGCGCTGTGAGTCATAATTTAATGACATCCAAAGGAATAGAAATCTCTTAAACCATATTATAGAAGCCATGAGTTTAAAAATGACACTGCTCCAAAACCTATCAGGGAGACACTAATTTATATGTGAAGAATCCAAAATGGGAAATAGAATATACCTCCACAAGTTTCGGGAAACAACTAAAATGTATCTTCCTTGATAGTATAAAATATACTTCTAAATATTGACATCTTGATACCTTCTCACCGATAGCTCCCAAAATCACAACCCCAAGTGGGCACCTGTGCTTTCCTATTATTGGGCACTCATGTGATGAATGGTATGGTCTTAAAACTCCATCAAAGAGCACAAATCTCCAGAAATAAGTAATAACCAAAACAGAACATGGTGACCTAAACCAACATTTTGCAATTAAGTTTACATGAGTTGGCATAGCTCGACTGATGAATCAGTGTATACTCCTTGAACAAAACTTAACTTTGTGTTCCAGCAGCTTTCTTTGTTTGTTTGTTTAATAACTGTACCACTTCAGTCCAAGAAGACTCTGTGCCATCAAATAGGAGTAGCCATTTTCATTTTCCTTACAGCTGCTCCCAAAGAGTCTGTAAAGATAACAGAGTAATAGAGTTGGAAGAGACCTTGTAGGTCATCTAGTTCAACCCCACCCCCGCCCAAGCGGGAGACCCTACACCATTTCTGACAAATGGCAGTCCAATCTCTTCTTGAAGGTCTCAAGTGATGGCGCTCCCGCAACTTCCGAGGGCAAGCTGTTCCATTGATTGATTTGTTCTCACTGTCAGAAAGTTTCTCATTTCTAGGTTAAATCTCTCCTTGTTCAGTTTCCATCCATTCTTCCTTGTCTGGCCTTCAGGTGCCTTGGAAAATAGCTTGACCCCTTCTTCTCTGTGGCAGCCCCTCAAATATTGGAAGACTGCTATCATGTCTCCCCTGGTCCTTCTCTTCACTCGACTAGCCATGTCCAGTTCCTGCAACCATTCATCATATGTTTCAGTCTCCAGTCCCCTAATCATCCTGGTTGCTCTTCTCTTCATTCTTTCTAGAGTTTCAATATCTTTTTTATAGTGTGGTGACCAAAACTGGATGCAGTATTCTAGGTGTGGTCTTATTAAGGCTTTATAGAATGGTATTAATACCTCCCTTGATCTTGAATGTATTCCTCTGTTAATGTAATTTAGGATTGCATTGGCTTTTTTGGCTGCCGCTGCACACTGCTGTCTCATATTTAATTGGTTGCCCACTAAGACTCCAAGATCCTTCTCACAGTTACTGCTATTAAGCCTGGTTTCACCCAGTGTATATGTGTACTTTTGGTTTTTCTTGCCTAAGTATAAGACATTACTCTTCTCTATGTTGAATTTCGTTTTGTTAGATAGGGCCCAGAGTTCAAGTTCTTTAAGATCCATCTGGATCTTGAGCATATCATCTTTCTTGTTTTTTCCTTCCCAGAACATTAAATAACATCTACAGGTTCAGTGCTCCCACAGTCTGGAGCAGGAATCTGTCCATTTCTCACCCCTATTTAAATCATACAACAGAGAGACAGGGAAGGAGCTGCAACTGGCTTCCTTTACACCAGTTCTACACCTCCATTCTTGTGGTAACTGTTAAGATTGGACACTAACCATGCCCCCTGCACTTAATCCATTTAAACACAATTGTGCAAACAAAACCAATGTGAGGGGTACTGAACTCACTTCTGACAACATTGTCGGAATTTGTAAAACACTAGATTTCTTTTTAAAGAACTCTCAGCTTGCTAAAAAGTAACTTTTAAATGTTTGTTTAGAAGTAAAAAGAGGCTTACAAAATCTTCTTTAAACCAAGGGTTTTGAACACTTTCAGGTTAAAGAACTTGCAAGTTTAAAAAAAAAAAGGCAGAATCTTTTATCAAGTTTTAATGACTAAAAACAATGGCTGCATTTGAGTGAACTTTTTCCCTTTAGTTTCTCATGGAGCCTGTGTCCCATAGAACACAGACTTAAAGTTTTACAGACAGGATTTTTTACTACAGAAAAGTCCCATTCTGGGTGCTCAGTCTTGTGTAATCTTATTAAGCCTCAGGTGTGTAAGGAATGTTTGTGACTTTTCTGTAGAGAATATTCAGTGTCCAAAAGACCTACTTTTGACCTTAGATTCTTGTGCATTCTTTTCCTCTTCACACTCGGTATTCTTCTGTCAGAGTTTGTTCCAAATCGGTATCCATTAATAGAAAACATTTTTCTGCCTCAGGATTCTGACAACCCAGATCTACGTGACCGTGGCTACATTTACTGGCGACTCCTCTCCACAGACCCTGTCACTGCCAAGGAGGTGGTTTTGTCAGAGAAGCCCCTTATCTCTGAAGAGACCGATTTGATCGAGCCCACTCTACTGGATGAACTCATTTGCCACATTGGTTCACTGGCATCAGTGTATCACAAACCACCCAATGCCTTTGTGGAAGGCAGCCACGGAATCCACCGCAAACACCTGCCTATCCATCATGGAAGGTAAGAGAGAGACAGAATGATTTTGTGGGTTATTTGCTTTTTTTAAAAAAGTCCATCTATGAAGATATTACCTTGTCCTGATGCCCTTACAATTTTATGTGGCTGGGTTTGTAATACAAAATTTAAAAACAAACTCAAAATTTGCATGAACATGGAAACAATACTGGCAGCCCATTTTACAACTTTCTTACCACAGTTGTTAAGTGAATCACTGCAGTTGTTAGCATGGTTGTTAAGTGACTCTGGCTTCCTCATTGACTTTTCCTGTCAGAAGATTGCAAGAGTGACTATGGAACATGGCAACTGTCATAAAATACTAGTCCCCAAGCATCTGAATTTTGATCACGTGACTATGGGGATGGTGCAACATTTGTAAAACAGTCATAACTCACTTTTTTTTCAGTGCCATTGTAACTTCGAACGGTCACTAAATGAATGGCTGTAAGTCAAGGACTATCTATATTGCACATGGGAAGAAAGTTCATTAGCAGTCACATAATTAGTATCTTATCAGAAAATGTGAGAAATACAGGAAATGTTACCTTAATGAGGGCAGTGTCATCTTCCCTGAGTCTTTCTGCTGCCCAGGTAGACCAGGTAAGCGGCCGGGGTTCAGGACTCCAGATAGCAGCTCCAGTGGAAAGTTTAGGAGAGCCAGTTTAATGTCACAGTTCCAAGTAACATACCCATAGCAAACAAAACACTGAAGCAGGCAATTTCCTCAAAGAATAGATTTATTGGATGTGTCATATTTGGCACAAGCTGGTAAAACCGACTCTGAATATTCCCACAGTTTTCACCTAATTAAAAATCAATGTTTGTCACTTTCTCAAAACAATCAGTCACATGATCTAATCAGGATACTGTCCAGTTGCTAGGTGACTCTAGTCCCCTCCTTCCGAGCACCTGCAGGAATGTTCCCAGGAGAAAGTATTTTATTTTGACTACAACACCCATCTCTATTCCCCCCTCCCTGTTCCTGTTCTCCAGCGTGTCAGCGCTGAAGTCTCAAAATGGCCTCTGTCAGGCCAGCTTCATAAATAGGGCTGAGGAACTTGTGATCCAGAAGATAACATTGTGCTCCAATTCCTAATGGCCTAAGTAATGGTGAGGAAATCTGTAGTTTAGCAGCACCTGGAAGCCCACAAGTTTCCCTTGCTTGCTTTGGGTGAATGTTCTTCCCGAGCTATTTGGCAGGCTATTAATTCCACAGCTGCTCTTATTCTTTCACAATGACCTGTTTAAAATTTTCAGTGGGTTATTTTAATATTGGGTTTTATTTGCCCAGCGTTTTATTCTGTGTTTCAACAGCCTCATCTATTGAGTAGAATATTTATGGAATTCAACTTTTAAAGAAATAGCAGTTGTTTGCTGTCAAATTATTTTACAATTCACACCCCTCTTGCAAGGGTTATTTTTACAAGAATACTTGCACTTCAAAGTCTGTTTAGAGCAGCTTGCACAAGAAAGTCTTTTGTGTTGCTCTCTTCTTTGACAGTGAAACCAAGTAACTCTTCCCTCCTCCCCCCCTCCACATACCCTCAGTACTGATGCAGGAGACAGCCCTGTGGGAACCATGAGTGCTACAAACCTGGAACAACCTCAGGTGATTCCATCCCAAGGAGATCTCTTGGGTGACCTCTTGAACCTCGACCTGGGGCCTCCAGTGAATGTTCCCCAAGTGTCTTCCATGCAGATGGGTGCTGTGGACCTTCTAGGAGGTGGACTTGATAGCCTGGTGAGTAAGCATGACTTTTGTTGAACATGGACTAAAATTCTTAGGGGTGTGTGTATGTGTGTGTGAGTGAGAGAAGGAGAGAGAGAGAGAGAGAGAATTAATGAATTGTTTAGCTCTATAGTACCAAAAACTTAAGCTATTGGAAACCAGTGCTGGGATTTTGGATCCAAGTCGCTGCCACTTGGAGGATGCAAAGATGTTTGTCTTCTTTCTGCTCCTTTTCAGCTTTGCAGATTACAAGTTATTAAATTTACTGCCTCCTTTACTTGCTTATTTGCGGTATTGATGGATGGCTTTGTTTATTTGTTTGTTTACATTCTGCCTTTACTATCTTCACAAATACATAGAGAAGATAAGGAAAAATTAAGCAACATCGTGGAAAATGTTGGTAGTGCATTTTTAAGGGGTTTGTGGCCTGATCCCTGTATACCAGCAGAGAGAAGGAGCGTGGCTGTGTCATGTTTGTGTTTCTTGCTAGTGGCTAGCAAAGAAAAGAGGAGAAAAAAAATGCTCCTGGTTTTTAGCATTAGGTACATGTTTCATAAATTATCTAGGATCACCCTTGGCAGCTTTGGTTCAATGTGGCACTTCCTTATAATAATGAATTGTTAATAGAGGCTGTTAATTTTGCATAACAGCAGGGAAGAGCAGGTATGGGATCCATAAGAGCAAAGCTAGGGCACAGTATATAGACCCATTACACAAAACCATATCAAGAGTTGTTTATTGTGCATGGGTGAACCAGTTTTAAGGAAGGGACCATAATTTATCAACCAAAATTGATCAATTAGCCCACAATGCTAAGTTTGGAACAACAATCTAACAGTCCTACTATAACCGCTTTTTCTTTTTATAGCATTACTCAGCCTTGCTTTTAGCAATAATATGGTTTGTCCTTGCTACTGGTATATTGGGCAGTGATGGTTGGATGACACTAGAAACCATTACTGTGGAGGCAGACTCTGGATGTGATATATACATTATTTTTTTTGTAATTTTTGATCATTAGCTTTTGCAAATATTATTAGAGTCTTCTATAAAATGCTTTAACTATAATAGCTGTGGTAAGTAAACAGAGTTACCATGCTAATTCTGCAAAGTGACAGTTTGTCAGTGTGGATGGATGGATGGATGGATGGATGGATAATAAAAATGAGTCAGTTGTCAAGCATCCAAATGTTAATCACATGACTATGGAGATGCTGCAACAGTCACAAGTGTGAAAAGGGGTCTTAAATCACTATTTTCAGTGCTATTATAACTTTGGTCACTAAACGAACTGTTGTTAGTCGAGGACCACTTGTATAGTTAAACTTACTATCCCACCAGTTGGCTGTGGCCTGGGTACAAGATAGGTGATTGGTGTTTCTCAGAATTGGACAAAGAACCTAATGACTTTCAATTCCCAACCCTCCTCTCCACTGCAATAAATGATAATCAACCCCTATCCACCACTGCTAGGCAATCACAGCTAGTTTATGCATCTCCAGACTTTTTTTTTTTTTTTGCAGACACCTGGGCATTTATTTGCATGTTTAGCACAATATGATATTTCCAACAAGCTGATATTTGTTATCTAGTTTTGTGATATGGACCTTCGTGCATAGAAGTGTAGCAGTTCACATTGATGCTTGGATTCGTATATTTAGCAAACACGCAAGCTTCAGTCTCATGTCCACTGCATAGGTATAGAATTGCTTGTGTGCTGTCCAGATGCTGTCTCACACATTTCTGGGTAACCTTTAGCTCTCCGATTAAATCCAACTGTTTCTTAGAAAGTGAATTAAGGCTTCCCAAACAGCTTCCAATTGCTTGGGGCCCCTGTGCTCCTGAGATTCTTAAGACTTTAAACACAACAGCAGGGGTATCTGAGATTTGGCTTCTCAGTGACAGGACTTACATGCTCTGTGTATTATTGTAAGATGTTGACAACACCATAGCAAAGATTGGCTCACTTTGATGTAGGTTTTCGGTGGAAACCAGGTCCATAAGGTTTCAGCAGATTTCTGGAATTAAGCCCTATAACATGGAAAGAATCTGTTCTTGTCAAACGATCTCTCAGAGTAGCTGACCCATAACCTCAGCAGTTCTGGAGCGGCAGCAGAATGAAAAATGTCAAATGAAAGAGCAAAGGAAGAGGAATTCCAGGGAAAGTTTTCAACTTTGTTTGTCAAGATATCTGCAGAAGCTGACACCACATTCACTTGAGAATGTTTCAGGCCTGTGTTCGTTCAGTGCTGACAAAAACTAAATTTTGCATGCAGTCTCAACTGCTTCAGATAACATTTAAAATACTTCTATAATTTGTCTATATGTATCAGGACAAGCATTTCTATTCCTGCCTGAATTCTTGAGGTGATAGCTTTCATATTTGGGCTGTAATTGGTTTTCTTCAAGAGAAAGATCCATCCATACGGGTTTTTACTTGCAGTTTGAAGTGGATAAAATTCTAATCAAAGCTGACCAGCATATCTGGCTTTTCTGAGAAGGATGTGTCTCAGCAACTGGAAGTAGCTTAAGGGCAGTTTAAGCTGAAAAGAATCTGAATACTCTACAAAAGAAGGAGCTTAGTCTTAAGAGTCAAAAGTAGAATTGCAGCCCACTAGATGTGACAGATTCAAAGCCCCGAGCAGCTTCAGTCAGCACAGCTAATAGGGTTGTAGTAGTCATGGTTCCGTACTTCCTGGAGAGTGCATATTTCATCACTTCTGATTTATCCAACCATAGACACCCTGTGAGTGGTGTCTATGTACCATTTTGATCGCAGTCCAGTTCACCCTGATACTTGTGGAGTGGAGCAAAGCAAAACCTTGCTCATAAAAGATTCGGCCTTCTCTGCCAATGATTCCTATGCAAAGAATAATACACTAAAACAGGGGTGTCAAACTCAAGGCCTGCGATGTGGTCGGATCTGACCCACAGGGCCATCCTGGAAAACATTAGGAGCTGGCCCACGTCTCTTTGACCAGGTCTACCCGCATCGCTTCAGCCCCAATGCGAAGTAGAAACATTGGGCCAGTGTGGTTTTGGCCCAGTCTACCCAGTGCAAAGAGGAAACATGCCAGCAGTTTGTGGAGTGGCGTCAAGCTGGCTCACCCAGTCAGCCACACTCACCCAGTCAGTCATGCCCTGTGAGTGGTGTCAAGTTGGCCATGCCCATCCAGTTGGCCACGCCCATCCAGTTGGACACGCCCACATGGTTCCCTGAGGTCCACCACAGCCCTGATGTGGCCCTCAATGAAATTGAGTTTGACTCCCCTGCCCTAAAAGGACCAGAAATCTGGGATTCCCAATATATTTTGTCAACTTCAAATAAAACTACTACTTGTCACCTTTCAGTTTGTCTCAGGATTGTTTGCTATGTTTACCTTATTTGTATACTGGAGTTTCAGATAACCTCAATTTGATTTAGTCTGATTTAACCATTCTGATTTAGTCTGATTTAACCATTCTAAACTGCAAGGAGTAGAAGGTCATTTGTGTAAGACAGGGACAATACTGTGGTTCTGTGGAGATGCACTGCTGAAAATAATATTAGAGATGTCAAAATGTCAGTTTTTAGTATGAAACAGCTGCAGTGATCTGTTTGGAAAGCTGCTGGTGAAATCTCCATGCTAAAAAGAAAGCTGTTGACTTAGATCACTAAAAAGAAAATACTGGCATTTTGCTTCTTCTCTTTGCCTAGTAAAATAGGAATAAATCTTCTGAAATAATTAAAATTTAAAACCAGGAATTCAGATCCAGAGGGTTGAGGATGACCTGGATGTGAAGCAGGGGGAGATTTGCTTCCATTTCCAACAAAAAAGTAGCAGCAGCCCCTGTAACAAATTTCAGGGCCCCAGGCTGAGAATTTGAACATTTGGGTATTTTTTTAATTCTGCCTTTTGGAATTAAGCAGGATGACATTTCTCCTCTTACCTCTTTATCCTACTACCACTAATCATCATTGCGGGGCGGGGTGGGGAGTTGATTTCAACCTGTTTTTTTTAATTTTGTGGGGAAGAGATGAGTTTGGTTGAAATTGGGAGCAAAAGACGTAGGGGATTCGGAGAAGGTCGACTTTTAGTCTTGAAATCGGGCCTAAAATTGTGATTTCAGACCATTTTTCAAGGTCTTTTTGAGGATCGACTCCCATTCTCATCCTGTCATCCCACAAAACATACATAAAGGGCTGAAAAATTCAACCCAACCTCTTCTGATGATATTACCACATCACTTCCTTCGATCTTCTGAAAATTTTGGAGACTTACTTAAGACTCCTCATCACCCACACACTGGCTACCAATGAGTTAAAGAAGCCTCCATGGGTACAAGTACCTTTTCATCAGTTGAGGTACTGATAAAGATGCCATGCACAATTAAAGTATTTTATAAATGTTATAGACTGCAGGGCAACAAAATCATATACTCTGGAGGCTAAGAAAAACAGGCAGATTGTTTTTTCAGGAATCAAGACTAGATATGGATGGTAAACAATCATATTTTAAAATATGGTGGGAGTAGAAGTTCTTTGGCTTTGAGTATGTGGTGAACATCACAAGGCCTCTAAGGTTGGTGGGAGCCAAATATTGGTGCTGCTGTATTGATCAGGTGAAGAACTTTAGAGACGTTTAAATTCCATGTCGATGGGATTGAGAAAGAAGTCTATGAGAAGAGAGATTTTCGATCTAGTTAAACCAGAATCATAATCTAAGCCAGGAGTCTGTGAGGCCTAGGAAGTCAGGAATTAATGCCACCAGTCCTCACCAAGGAAACCAGTTATAAGAAGCAAATTTGGAAACCAGAATTGTATGATGAACTAAGATCGTCCTCTAAGGCCACCTGACTAAGTATTAGGATCCTATAGCCAGACAGCATCCTCAGTAAAAATTAAGATAACTTTTATTGTCTTTTTTCTGTATACACAATGGTACACATTAACATGAAATTCCGATGCATTGCTCTTGAAAGAAGGAACGCCACCCACCAAACAATGTCACCATCCCAAGGATAACAGTAACAGCAGCAGCATCCAAAAATACCAAGTTATATATATATATATGTGTGTGTGTGTGTGTGTGTGTGTGTGTATGTATATATTTGCACTTCATTTGATTCTTGCACACCCAAAAATCTTTCTGCTGCCGACCCCTCATTGTAGGCACTCATATTACCCAATTTTTATTTTATTGACCTAAAAGGTATTTACAGATAGTCCTCAACTTACAATCACAATTGAGCACAAAATTTATGATGCTAAGTGAAAAATTTGTTAAGTGAGTTTTCCACCGTTTTACTACTTTTCTTGCCACATTTGTTAAGTGAATCACTGCAGTTGTTAAATTAGCAACACGGTCGTTAAGTGAATCTGGTTTCCCCATTGACTTGGCTTGTCAGAAGGTCACAAAAGGGGATCACATTACTCCCCTGGACACAGCAACCATCATAAATGTGAGTCAGTTGTCAGGCATCTGACTATAAATCCCATGACCATGGGGATGCTCCAATGGTCATTAACCGTGAAAAAAGGTCATAAATAACTTTTTTTAGTCTTATTGTAACTTTGAACTGATCACTAAGTGAACTGTTGTAAGTCAAGGACTACCTGTGAATCATACATCGCCACAAATTCTTACTTAAGTCCTGGCCTCTAGTTGCAAAAGTCCTGGTTTAGGTTCGAGACCACAAATTTGCCTACAGGAGACATTGGATTTCTCTCCTTCTCCCATTACAACTGCAATTCCTGGGGGAGCAGTGTGTGTGTGTATGTGTTTGTGTTTAAAAGAGAAGGAACGGGGAAGTTATAGGATTGTAAGAGCCAAGAAACCTTGATTTGTATCTTTCAAGGTTGGCTTCCCAGCCTGTGGCTCTTTTAATGAGATAAACTTGGCACAGGAGCTGATGAAAGCAGATAAAAACATCTGGCTCTATTATGTAGAATTATTCACAAGTTGTTTTGATGCTGCTTTATGTAAGAAGCACTTGCCAGCTGATAGGGAGACTGCTTCTCCCCCTTCCCCCTTGACTGGGAAACGTTCCCCAGAGAACCAGAACCTCTCTCTGCCTCTTGCCTTCTTCAAAATGAATCTGACAGGGGTTTTTTGCTCTCCGTACCTTTTGCTATCCAAGCCATGCTTTTCCTGGCTATCACATAGCTGTAACTTGAAAGAGTATAATAACCGCCCATGATCACTTCTACAAGAGGAAGTCATAACGGATGAGTACTCTGGCTATTATCCCACTCCATAACGGTAGCGTTCAGATCGAAAGAGTGAGAAATCATCTGTTTTCCATCAAGCCATAACTGTCGTTGCATGAGTCTGATACTGGTACAAGTTGCTGTCATTTTTTTTAAATGGGGTCTCTAAGAGCACAAATCTGTTTCTAAGACAGTGTCCTTGTCTTCCCCGTTGCAGCTGATTTTACCAGGAGTCAATGGCCTTTTCCTGTTAGCGGGCACCGTTATGTAATCTCAAATGGTTTTGTAGGTGCCAGAAACTAATTGTAAAACTTTTTTTTTTAATTTTAAAAAATCAATTTAAAATTTTTAAGATGCTCCAAGTTTTATTAGGTCTTATGGAAAAACACTTATCTTGAAATAATTGCCAGTGTTTTAATATCCCCAAGGTGCTTTTTCAAGAGGCAACTGGACTTTCTGGTTTTTCTTTGAAGACATTTCACTTCTCATCCAAGAAGTTTCTTCAGCTCTGATTAGCTGGTGGGGAATGGAATAAAAATATAAATGGAATATAAATCCTTCCATTCCCCACCATCCAGTCAGAGCTAAAGAAGCTTCTTGGATGAGAAGCAAAACGTCTTCAAAGAAAAACCAGAAAGTCCAGTTGCCTCTTGAAAAAGCACCTTTGAGACAACCATCACCTGGATGACTTAGAATCTCCATAGACAGTGTTTTAGTACTTTAGTCAGTTCACTTAAAAATATTTTTTCTGTAAAAATGTTTTTGCAGGTGGATGGATGCAGTCTACTGTTCTGCAGGTGCTATGGCACCCAGAGATGCCACATTATCAAATCTTGCACATGTCTGTGGCAAGGCAAGTCCTGTTTAAAGGAAATATATGATACCATCATGACATATAAGAATGGTCCTTGTTTGTTTGTTTTTCAGAGGAAGCCAAGGCTCTGTGAAAGCATATACAGTCTTTTGATTCCTTATTTTTTTGTTTTCTGAAACCACTGTCTCCGAAAAAGAACAGCCAACTACAGTAAATTGTCCCGTTTTTCTACCTTCGATCTATTTTCTGTTTTGTAGCTTTAAGCATTAAAATCACAAACAGCTGATGTTAGGCTAGAAGATGGATCTATCATAATGCTGCAGGAAAATAACCCAACCCTATACACCAAATAACAAATTTAATCAATCTTTGGCACATTTAATAATCTTCCAAATCAGTGTCTCTTAATCCTGGCCACTTACATCTTAAAGAAATCACCAGCTGTTTCTTTAAAAGCAATGCAGAAGTTGCTTATTCTCTAAAATGTGCCTCCTTGATTTTGTTATAATAATTACAAATCTAAAATTGAACAATCTGATGCACTATCATCTTTTTTACTGTGTAGTGTCAAACAGATACACTGTGAGTTGTGAGATTGCTTTTCACATCCCAGCAGTTTTCATTTCTACTTGGTTACATTCCCCCCCACCCTTTGGAAGGAAAAAGCTTTTAGTGTTTTATCCTTTGAGGAGGGAAAAAAAAAAGGCATAAAGTATATTAGGGTGGGTGGGTGTAACTTTCAGCCAAGCATCTATGAGCGAAGCTAAATGCATGTTCCGTATCTGAGTGCTTGGGTCTGTTCTGTTGGGTAATTGTTCAGAGAGCTGCCAGAAATAGAAAAATCACATGATACCCATTCAAGCAACCTCCACTTTAGGGTGACAATGCTGCGCAACTATGTCAGTTTATTTTTGGCCTTGCTTTTTGCTTTTTGTGGACTTTTTGCTCTCAGAACATCAATGGGCTGCTGATATTGGAGCCCAGGAACATTGGTGGGCAGGCAAGGAATGTCAAGAGGCTGCTGCTGAAACTGATCCGCACAGGAATGAATGGTGGTGAGCCAGGATGGCATGTTCAGAAGAGCTGTCCTTACCCATCACATTCCCCCTCCGCCTTATTACCTGAAGGAATAGCACGACTAGGTCTGCAAAGGCAGAGAAAACAGGACCCCTGCTTCTGGAGTGCTGTGAAAAGCCCTGGTTCATGCTAAGTCTGAGAGAAGTAACCATGGCTGTTTGTGAGGTGTCCTTCTCTAGGAGCAGTGGGGATAAGGCTGAGGGCCTTTTGGCTTTTTAAAATTAAAGCTTGAAGATGAACGCAAGTTCACGTCTATCTAGGTCTTAGCTGCCACCTTCTGCTGCTGCCCACAAAGACCTTGGGGCATATTCTTGTGCTTTCAACCAAATCCCACTTCCCTGCCTATGGAATTTGGGGGGTTTCAAATCTGTGGATCTCTCTGTCCTTGCTGGGTCAATATTCTCTCTGGGCAAACAGATGGGTGACAGGTGGTGTGCCAGGCCTTTTTTGGGAACTACATGATCTTTATTCCTTGGCACCTGATAACTTGGCTGTAATGGACTCTTTCTCTTTCCCCTGCCTTTTCTCTTCCTTTTTTGCCTCTCTTTCTCTCTCTTCCTTTTTCTATTCTTTTCTTTCTTGCAGCTTGGCAGTGACCTTGGCGGGGGAATTGGAGGCAGCCCAGCAGTAAGTGCCCTCCATTCATTTTTTTTTCCTTTTCAGTTTTGATTGAAAAAATTATTATTTATTTGTTGAATTTACATCCCATCTTTCCTTCAGAAAGAGTTCATATTGGCACACGTAGTATTTTCTCCTTCAATTTTATTCTTACAACAGACCTACGAAGTAGGCTGAGCTGAGACTTCGTAACCAGGCTTTAAGTTGGCCAATATATTTTCGGAATTAACTGGGGATTTGAAAACAGGATCTCTCATCCTGCAACTTTAACTACTAAAACACACAGGCTTTCGTTTTGTGGTCTTCTTTTCCCATCCATTCTTCTAAAACCTGTGCAGCTGAGATAGCCCTATGTTACATATTCTCAACATGTTCTCTGGATTAAAGCATCTAAAACATTGAAATAGTGGAAGGAAAAGAAAAGAGAATTTGGTGGCAAGCTTGATTTGTAGAGTAGTCAAGAAATTTGGAATTCTGATACTGAGGAGACCTGAGATCACAGTATATTTTTCCATGATAAGTAGATGTATCGCTGCTTGCTCATAGAAGAAAAAATGGAGAACCGAGGAGAACAAGCTGAAGGATTCCCAGGGTTTGTGCAAGACACAAGAGTCATTGTGAAAACTACTTCCAGGTTTGGCTTGGTCCCAGAGCTCCATAAATCTATAAATGGGAAACAAAAGGCAGCCAGAGCCCTCGGTGCCATTGGTGAGAAATTCCAAACAATTTAAAGTCATTGAATGAACTAGAACTGGTCAACTCATATTCCTAATTTCCAAGAGTCATCAATAGCTGTGGACTGCAATTGTCCTTGGAGCAAAGCATTCCTCTTCCAATTCTATTTAAATGGACTGGAGGGCCATGGGACTTCCTGGATATTCAACAAATCTATTTTGAAAGCACCCATTTTGAGCCCATTTCACTACACGGTTGTCGAGGGCTTGGTTATGACTGAGAATTCCTTTTGGAGAGTTCACTCACCATTGTCTGATACAATTCCTCATCTTTAACTATTGAATGTCCTTGCTCTTCACTCTTTCTGCAGAGTCTTTTGGAGAAGATAGGTTGGCTATTAATGGCTGCTTTAATCACATAATGATGGGTAGTAGAGATGGGATTTAAAGCAGAGAGCACACCCGCGTGCCAATGTAGTACCCTTGCTCATTCAGCAAAATGCCAGGAACTTTAAAATATTCAGAATAGCGTCCAATTTTTTGATTTCTTTAATATAGGTGTCTATTATGTACCACCTGTTTAAATATCTTCCCTGATTGCTTGCAGGTGGGACAGACCTTCATCCCATCATCAGTCCCAGCCACATTTGCTCCCTCCCCTACCCCAGCTGCGGTCAGCAGTGGACTGAATGATCTCTTTGAACTCTCCTCTGGCATCGGCATGGCACCTGGTGGATATGTGGCTCCCAAATCGGTATGTGTGAGGAAACATGGCTACAGAGCTGTCTTCTTTTGCCAAGGTTGTCTCTTCATCAGGGTTTTTTTAATTTGGGGGGGGGGCATGCCTCTCTTTTCTGTTTCACACTGACTTTGTTTCTGAGTAAATAACTGTGCCTTTTGCTCTGTTTGGCTCGATGAGCTTCTGCATCCATTACAAATTCATTTAGTACTACAGTGGAAAGTTTTAAGATAAACCAGGATGGAGGTTCTGGGTTTGTTTGTTTTTGTTTTTGTTTTTTTGTTTTGTTATAGCATGCAGCATGCTGGTTGGGGAATTCTGGAAGCTGAAGTCCACATGTCTTCAAGTTGCCAAGTTGCCAATTAGAGCATGCTATTTCCTCTTTAAATCCTCTTCTTTTACTGCCAAACTGTTGTGAACTCTGTTCAGAGTGCTGTAAATGGATTTTGAGACATTTCCTCTTCAGCTTTTCTAAATCAGCTGGAAAGAATTTATGTGACCATCTGAGATTCAGTCATCATTATATACCAATATATAACATGATTTGAAGTGGATAGGCTGAACACACCCACTCAACATTATTGTCTATCATGATAAAGAAGTCTCACTGGAATTATTCTGTTACTTTATGAGTCCAGTATTGCTTGCTCTAACAACCATCACTTTATAGGTCTGGTTGCCGGCTGTGAAAGCCAAAGGCCTGGAAATTTCTGGAACCTTTGGCCATCGGCAAGGACATATCTACATGGATATGAGTTTCACCAACAAGGCTCTTCAACACATGAGTGACTTTGCCATTCAGTTCAACAAGAACAGGTTAGGTCTTGGAATCAACTAAACACCCTTTTTGTTGCACACTTTATTTTTCTTGGCTTCTCTGTTGAATGTTATACCTTCTTTCCTCTCTCTCCTCTCCAACCATCCAGCTTTGGAGTCATCCCCAGCACCCCACTGGCCATTCACACTCCTCTGATGCCAAACCAAAGCATTGATGTTTCTCTTCCACTCAACACTTTGGGGCCAGTCATGAAAATGGAACCTCTGAACAATCTTCAGGTAGGAACCCTGGGTTTTGGGGAGATGGAGGAGAAAGTAGTCAAGATTTGGGGTTTTTGCATTTTAATACAAATTAAAATAAGAGTTGGGGATGGAAGCAAAAGTGGCTGAATAGTCAAGAAACTGTCAGATCCTTTTCAAGTGATGTTGTGGCAGAGGGTTTTTTTTTTCCCCTTATAAAACAAGCTGTTGTTGGAACAAAACAATTTAGCTTCAGGCAAAGTTCGGGCAAACAAAATAAAGGAATTTGGTGCATCACATATAAATATTTTCTGGATTTCATTGTAGCAATGATCAGTATATGAAAAGGCTTTTTAAAATGAGATATTCTGGCTAATTTACCTAATTTTCTTAAAATATGTAATTTGGTGGTGGGCCGGCCGGTCCATGCATGATACTATAATATAAGGATTGGGTCTGCATATCATCTAAACCAAAAACAGATTGAGCTTCTGAGATGACTGAATTTTATGGGCAAATAGGGATTACATACTGTGCAACATTTCTGAAAACTAGCTTTTATTTGTTTATTTATTCATTCATTCATTCATTCATTCATTCAGTTTGTATGGCTGCCCATCTCAATGGCTCTGGGCAGCAAACAATCTTAAAAAGAAATTAAAAACAAAAATTCCAATTTGCTCTGCCCATTCCACATCTGTGCCTTAACTAAGCACCAGGCTCCCGAGTTGATTCTGGTACTATAATAAATAATAGCCTTCTACACAATGGTTTCTATTCCAGTATACAGGCAAACTGTGACTCCTTTACTCCTCTTCCCCCTCCCAGCCCTCCTCTAATAATCTTTCTATGGTATCCCCAACAGGGAAGCTTATTAACCATAAAAAGCACTGTTTTCTTCAGCACTTCTGTCCTGCGTGTTATGAATGAGCCTACTGACAGGCAGCTAGAAATAGTGCTGCCTCGATGTGGAAGCTCCCGGTTGGAGTTGAGAACAAGAGAGATGCAGCTGTGTAGCTGCTTTTACAGAGGCAGGGAGTTTGTGAGCCAAAAAAAAAAAAAGTTCTTCACTGGGAAAATAAAAAGCATAAAACAGGCTTCAGTTTCAGCTTGTTTACCTCTGTATATTCAGACTAAATGAATATTTTTACTCATTTAACATGAGGGCTCTTCTGGTTTCATTTTTAGAAAGCCAATAGGTTAAATGTTATCTATATATCCTCCATATTCAGAAGCGTTGTTGTTGGAGAAGAAGATAGCCAGAGTGGGGGTACTTTTTTTAAGGCTGTGTAGATTTAATAAAGGCTTCTAACAAGGAACTGGATGGTGGGCTGCAGAGCCTCCAGTCTGAGCCCGTAGATGAACTCTTAGATTTGTGTTCATTTTGTTACATAAAATCTGAATATTTAGAAGCATAATCAAACACTTGCATAGTGGGTGCTCTCAGACATGCTAAGGGGTGAAAACTCCTTGTAATAAAATAGTATTTGGGGCTTTTGGTCAAAGCCAGGAAGACTTCCAAGCAGAGCATATTCCAAAGTGTGGGGCTATCACTGAAAAGTACTGACTCTTTAGTGGAGAGGTGTCCAAACTTTTTGCAAGGAGGGCCAGATTTGGTGAGGTAAAAATGTGTGTGTGGGCCGACCATTTAGCCTGACATTCTTTGAATTATTAACATTAAATGGGGAAAACGCCGGCCAGTGGGGATGAGTGACAGGCTGAGCCAGCAAGGAGAAGAGGCTGCGGGCCACTCGAAATTTGAAAACGGGCCGCAATTGGCCTCTGGGCTAGACTTTGGACATGCCTGCTTTAGTGGATACCCCTGCACTTCACAGCTTTTAAGACCATATTTGGATTCATGCTTGGCAGGACAGCCTATGACGTATCCCTACTATGCAATATTGGGATTAAGAGATAGGTTGAATTGGGGCTGGAATCTTACTGTCAGTACAGAGACCTCAAATTCAGGAAGTCCTTGACTTACAACCACAACTGGGACTGGGACCTCCATCCCTAAGTGATATGGTTGTTAAAGTGAGTGATACGCGACCGTATCCAATTTTACAACCTTTTTTTGCCATATCCATTAAGTGAATTCGGCTTTCCCCATTTGCAGCTGGGAAGGTTGCAAATGGCAATCATGTGGCCGTGGGTGCTGCAACCATCATAAATGCACCCCAATTGCCAAGCACCCCTCTTGCAATCGTGTGACTACAGGGATGCTGCAACGGTTATAAGTATGACAGCCTATTGCAAGTCACTTTTTTCAGTGCCACTACAACATTGAAAGGTCATTAAAGAATTGGTCACAAATATAGGACTATCTATAGCATGGGTGGCAAACTCAATCGCGTCACAGGCCGGATCATGACATACCGTGACTTTTTTGCCTTTGTGGAACCAGGGTAGGCATGGCCTGTGCATGACATAATCGGGTGCACGGGCCACCAGTTTGGCAGATTCTATAGGGAGTAATTCTATAGTATCCAGTTTCTTCACCGGTAAGTCTGGCCACTGTATGCCCAGTTCCTTTTTAAAGACAGTCCTGCACAAGCTGTCTAAAAGGTGATTGGGGCTTCCTGATCCAGGATTGACCATAACTGGCACCTCAGCCACAGCTAGATATAAAGACTTCTCTTTATATCTTTATACAGCTTCCTCTGCCCATTCATAAATCAGTGCTTTCAGAGGAAGCATGACTCCATCAAGATTGCCCACATGGGAGATGTTCGAGTAGAGTAGAGTAGAGTAGAGTAGAGTAGAGTAGAGTAGAGTAGAGTAGAGTAGAGTAGAGTAGAATAAAATATGGAATGGAATGGAACGGAACAGAACAGGAATAGTTGGAGGTCTTCTAGTCCAACCCTCTGCTTAGGCAGGAAACCCTTATCTATTTCAGACAAATGGTTATTCAATCTCTTCTTAAAAAGAGATGGATAGATTATGCAGAAACAGCAACCCTTATTGATAGGTTTTATTCCAACCTTGTTTCCTCCCATCCATTCAGTCCTAGGATATAAGTAAATGAATTATAAATAAATGTGGCAGAGCTGTCTTCCTTAGTGGAGTGATATGAAAGCAGGGGAAGTTTTCAGTAAGAATTTGGATGGAGAAAAGAGGCCAAATATATCATTATGGTAGTTTATTTTCTTAGGTGTTATGCTATTTATTTAAAGATGTTGCAAGGGGCAGCCCCACAAGCAGATACAGAAGTTAAAACCAAGCCACATGCTGGCTTAGCTGACTGTGTCTCTCCAGGAGGTCCTTGTTCAAGAATCTTCTGTTTTGGATGGAATTAGTTGCTGTCAAGCAGAAGGTCTCAGAAATGTCATTGTTACCAAAGAATCTGTTAATGACGGAAGAATTTTCTGTTCCTGTTTATCTTTTTTTTTTTAATCCCCTCTGAAAAAGCAGCTTGTGCATGTAGCTGATTCAGCTTCAAGAGTATTAACGTGTGTGGAAGCAATTTGGGGGAAGGAATGTAGATATTTAAAGATTTTGTCCTTTTCACCCTTTTTTCTACTCTCTTCCTTCCTAGTCATTTTCTTACCCTTCTTTGTTACCACTGGGCAGATCAGGGATGAAAGAGCAATACCACAAAATTCATATTGCCCTTCATAATTTACTTGCCATCATTCACATGTTCTGCATTAGAGCTGGATTGAATTAATGTGACATGATACTTCTTGTATGTCCATCCATCCGCCCCTTTCAGGCAGGGGCAGGAGGTAGAATCTTTGTTCCAATCTTGTTCAAGGTTTATTCATATGCTTTCCAAGGACAGAGGTTTTATGTATGTATGTATGTATGTATGTATGTATGTATGTATGTATTTATTTATTTATTTAGAGTAGTGTGCTGTGAAGTCATTTCCAATTGTAGCAATAATGTGGATAAATATTCTTCGTGATTCGTCTTTCGGGTCTTCCAATGATGTCCCCATCAGAAATGTAACTGAATCCTTCCAGTTGGTGACTAAGAGAGGAGCAGGAAATGCAATGTTTTCATGCAATTGTCATCACAGAGAGATGCACATAGATGGCTGTGGCATCCCATTGGAAGATAACAAGCGTTAGTTCAGTATTGTCTTAGTTTCTTTCTCTGGCAAAAAAAGTACTAGGTAGATGAAGGATTTTCATATATTCTTAGAACGTAAGAATTCCTTGGAAATTAGTCTAGTTTACTTTTTGTAGTATTATTACAGCTGTGGATCACTCAAAAACACAAACTTATGGTATATCCAATACAAGTTACTCTTGTTTACGACAGCATGATAGTTGAATTCCATTCCTGTGGAAATTTCCTGGCTTCTTGCTTTCTGTTTTTCAAAATGTAGTAGTAAATTGGCTTACCGATTTGTTAATATCGTTGGAGAAAGCGAAGTCATAACTGGAAAGTAGAAAATAATGCCATCCCAAATTCAGTAGCAAAGAAAGGACAATTGATTTTTTACTCATAACAAATGAGTGCATTGTATCTTTACTCAAAATTAAGTGAAACTAAAATCCAGAAAAGTAATGTAATCAAAAGTCTAACATTAAAAAAAGCATTTGGCAATCTTAAATAAAACATATATTTTGTTCTCAAACAATTAAAGTTGTAAAAACTTTTAATAGTGACATCTTAGGTTCAATATTAAACATATCTATACTAATCTTATTTTGATTTTAAAGATGTAGTACTGTTGCTTTCTAATGCTTTATCCTTCATGTTTTATAATTCATCTTGCAAATCTGTTGTCTAAGGCTACTCCAATTCCGTTCCAAAAATAATAAGATTTTGCCATAATAAAACATTGAAGCATGCCTAGACTTCGGTGCAGGTTTGTTCAGGATTTCCTTGGCAATTGCCTTTAGGCAGGAAAAGCTTCTGGATGGCAGACACTTTGAAAACTACTGAAACGTGTTTGATTAAAGCAGTCAAAGGGGATAAAAAGATATTTCTTGAAAGCTCTTGGGAGCACTTGGTAATTTGAACGTGAGCTCATGGGGCAGCAAACCTTCTCTTAGGGAGAATGGCTCAGAGCTGATTGTAGCATGTAAGGCTGGATGTGCAAATCTACCTTGTCACTTAATTACATTTACTTAATGAAGAGTTGCATGGGGAATGAAACTATCTTGGGTTTTAAACCTCTTGACTCAGTATGTCTTCTGCATTGATTTTCATGTATAATTCTGCCTATTCCATAATGCTTTTTCTAAGCTGGTGTTTCTCAATTTCAGCAACTTTAAGATATGTAGAGTTCAACTCCCAGAATTCCCTCAACATCACGGATGGCTTGGGAATTCTGGGAGTTGAAGTCTACACATAGCAAGAGCACTTAGACTTACGCACTATTTCACAGTGCTTTACAGACCTCTCTAAGTGGTTTACCAGAGTCAACATATTGCCCACAATAATCTGGGTCTACCTACTGACTTCAGAAAGATGGAAGGCTGAGTTGACCTTGAGCCAGTCAGGATCAAACTACTGGCAGTCTGCAGAGTTAGCCTGCAATGCTGCATTCTAACTACTGCATCACTGTGACTATCCACTGCAGCACCATGGCCACATGTTAAAGTTGCTGAGATTGAGAAACACTGCTCTAGACTACTTACAGATACTTTCAAGCCCCCTTACCACCTGGCTTCCCATTGAGAATGACACAGTTGCAATCAAAAATAGAACAGCATAAATCTGATTTGAGGCAGGTTTCCTAAAATCATGGTGAAATCATAGTTAGTACTGATATTGGGAGAGCTATTAAATCCCTAGTATATACTAAGTTGATGGTATAATGGCTTTTTTTGGCAGTGTAATTTTTCAGGTTTCTAGATGTAAAGCTCAAAATGACCATAAATGTATATTTTGTGCACCACAACTACACATTTGGTTGAGTTGAAAATCTTGGTCTCCCTATTGCAGTGTTGTCACCATTACATTCTTTCTATTGCTGCCCGAAGCCTAAGTGATTAATTAAAACACATCTTGAAGGAAAAACCTGCATGGCCCTCCCTTAAAGAGAACAGTAGCACTACTTTGTGGTTCAGGTTTACCAGCTTTCTATTGGTCTGCAGGAGAATATATTTGCCCTGTCTCTTAGCTGAGACTCTGAGAAAACAGATGCATTCAAGAAGCAGCCAGAAATGACCCAACCTGCAGCCTCCATGAAAGAAATAATTAGTAGGCTGTGCTAATTGATTCCAAATAAATCCTCACATACTGATTTAGGATTATTTGAAAAATAAACACTGTTTTTTTTTCTGCTGGTCTTCCAATCATGTCTGAATGCCAGATTCTACTCTTTCTATTCCTGCTGGGTGCCCAGAACACTCATCAGTGGCAAGGGACTGAACACTTCTGATTCCAATTTAGACATTCCCTGTCAAAGAGGTTGGAAAAGATATAGATGGGCTTTCTCTCAGCACTTCCAGATTCAGTCTTTACAAAATATGGGCTGGCATTCTGAATGTTTGTTCCTAATCCTCTTCCAAGCTAGAGATCTTAGATTTAATTATGCAGCCATTGCTGTACGCAGATGATGATGTTGAATATGCTGATCCTCCTCAGCACTTCTGCCCAGTTCAGGATGATCTTCTAAAATGTGCCCATGTGCAAATGTGGTTTCCTCAGGTCAGAATTACTTTAAGTTAATTCTGATACAGTTTATCTAGTAAATGTCAAGTAATAGAGTATGACAGTCACCTAAATGTGATTTGACCATATTCCTTCATTCACAACTGAGAAGTGGGAAAGCTAAATCTGTTTTTCTTTTGTATTTTAAAATTCTTGAGCTCCAAAATGCTTGCCCAGATTCCAGACATTTTTCTTAATTTTGGCATTTTAAAGAAAGTATGCTTGTGTATATCCATACAAATAATATAAAATGCAAGCCCCCCCCCCTTTTTTTTTAAAGCACTTGAGAGGATCTCAGGAGATAGATCTTCACACAAGACCTATATGTATAGAAGGGTTTCTGCAGCAGGCAAGTAAGCTTGGGGTTTAATAGCTCTGAATTATTTGAACGAAACCATAGCAATGCTATTCTTTGAGGGTCTGGCCTTCCCTGCCAGGAAAGGTTTTGTATTCTTTTGTATTTATTTATGCCATACTGACATTTTAAAAATCTTTTTAGGAATCAGGGTGGAGAAATTGCTTTTTTTTCCTTTTAAAAAATAGCAAATTTATTTTTCTCTTTTGGGGCAGGTGGCTGTAAAGAACAACATTGATGTTTTTTACTTCAGCTGTCTTATTCCCCTCAATGTGCTTTTCGTGGAAGACGGCAAAATGGGTGAGTGGTATATCTGGTTATTACTAGGTCCTGAGGGAATTAAAGGGTGGAACAGGATATGTATCATGGAAGGACAATCATTCTCCCAGGTAAAGGGCAAACAATAAATGAAGTACTGCAGCATTTGCTATGTGGACCATACAGAGTCCAAACTGGTTTTCCCCAATCAAGAAAATATGGCCTTCATCTTCAAAATTAAGCCATCTATATGGCCATTGTTCATTGAAGTCCTACACTGCTTGTCAACAGTGAGGATGCTGATTTCTGAAGGCTATTTCACCATATCCCTTTAAAATTACTCTTTAAAATAGTTCTGGTACTGGTACATACTCCAGATCAGTCTGCCCATTTACTCCTACAATAATTGGGTAAGTGGAGACAAGATACTTGGATCTGAAAAACATTATTTTGATTCCTGCCCAATTTTGGAGGAGCGGGTTAGGATGAGAAGGATCTCCTATCCCTGATCTCATCTTCAGATTATAAATCAACAAGGGAAGAAACAGAGGACTTTATTTATGTTATATATATTTACGTGTCCACTCAATTGGCTTGTGAGTCCTGAGGGCTAAGAATCCATTAAATGCATAACAAATGTTAAAAACAAGTTACCAGTATTTATTTCTTTGTATCTGCCTTTATTATTTTTACAAAAAAGATGGCAAACTTATCCACCACCCCTTTCTCCTCCTATTGTCCTCACAGCAACAATGCTGTGAGATGAGTTGGGCTGAGAAAGGGTGACTGGCCCAAGATTACCCAGCTGGCTTTCATGCCTAAAGTGGGAATAGAACTCACAGTTTCCTGCTTTGTGGTCTGATGTCTTAACTACTAGACCAAACAGGCTCTCATTAAACTAAGAGAACAATGCGTCTCTGGATGAAAGCCAAATAACAATCACATACAGGAAGTCCTCAACTTAGCAATTGTGCAAAGTCCTATAGATTCCACACACACGCCACACAAAGCTAATTATGACCCAGTTTCAAAACTACAGGTGCTGCTGCATCCCCATGGTCATAAGTCCAACATTTGGGTAGATTCACCCTATGACTGGCCATATCTCATCCTATTAGGTCCCTGCAGACCTTTCCCACTCTATACTTTCCTCCCCAAGCCCCCACCCCTGTCACCGATCTCTCCCTTTCCTTTCGTAGGTCTCTGGAGCTCCAGAGCTTGCATTAGAGAAGGGAAGCAGGCGATTCCACCCCTCAACATCCCTAGGTTGCATGGTGTCATCTCATGAATTGTGGCCACTTCGAAAATAGCCCTCTGAAGGGATACTGAGTGGGTAGAACAATCTGTTCCCCTTCCCCAATTCAATCTCTGAAGCTCTACACAAAATATGCTGAAAGAGAATGCTGTTGTTAATATTTGGGATGCTACATAAATCTTCACTTAGCCCTAAAAGTGTGGGGGAGTCTCAAACAGCTGTAGGAATATGGAAAACTCAGTTTTATGGTTTCTGAACCTACAGAACGCCAAGTTTTCCTCGCAACATGGAAAGACATCCCAAATGAAAATGAACTTCAGTTCCAAATTAAAGAATGTCACCTGAATGCTGGTAAGTTGAATTTTTGTTTTTAAAAATATCATATCTATAGCTTTGCCTAAAACTGCCAGTTTTCATTTGCGACTCATGATTTGTCTTGAAAACACCTGCTCTTTGGGATGGGGGTAGCACTTCCTATGTCTCGTATTCAACATGACTTTTATTGTGCCCCATGGATATGGATGGACTCCAATGGGAGCTTAAGGGGTTTCCTAGTGATTGGGGTGGAGAGGGTGGGCAATTCCTTTAGTTCTCTGGTTGACACTGGCAACAAGAAGTGAGCCAAGCTCCTGGTAAGATCATGCTCAACCAGACTTTTGTGTGTTCCTCAGTCATAGGTAGTTCCTCAATTTATCAAGGTGCTTCAAGAGATGCAGCACCAGAAATTATACCCAAAGAGCAGGTAAAGAAAAATGATTTTAAAAATACTACAAAGCTTGAACTTACATCATATCAGTAAGGGAGATGTATATATATTTCTTCTCCCTTAAATGCTTCATTGGGGTGCAATTGAGCAGACTATTCAGGATTGAAAACTTGCTGTTGGAGAGAATTGAGCAGGAAGGTCTCCTGCTGGGCTGTTGTGACTATTGTGCACAACACTTTGATAAAGTCACTCAGATGTGCCAGAGCCTTGGAGACTAAGGTAGTGACTAGAACATTATCTTTGTCATTAACTGGGTTTCTTTTTTGGCCTGCGGGTTCCAATCGGTGGACAGAGTTAATATAACTTCTGCCTCCTGGGCTGTGAGTCCGTGTCTTTCCTGGTTGTTTAGGGGGCAGGGGAAGGGATCCTGGTTGCAGCCGTGAAAGAGGCTGTGATACTCCTGCTCCTCAAGAGGCCCTCCTTGGATTCAGCCATATTAGACAACTGTAAACCAGTTAGCCTTTCCCTGGAAAGTCAGCTGCAAAGGACTCTAAAGAAAGTGGATTGTTTGAATTACTGCAGTTTCAGCCATGGGGCATGTGATTGAAATGGCATTGGTTGCACTGGTAAATGACTTGTTGGAACCTGGTTGGGGGGGAAACATCTCTTGTGGTCCTTTTAAACTTCTCAGTAGCTTTCAGTATTATGGTATCCCACTGGTCCACATGCTTAGGTTAGAAATGAAGGTAGTTTTGCAATGGCTCAACTCTTTCCTGAGTGGATGTTTCCACTCTGCGGTAGTTGTGGCTCAGTCCAGTGGCCACACACTTGATGTGTGTCATAGAGTTCAAGTTTTCTCCCCTGTTATTTATGATCTAAATGAAGCCACCGGGAGAGATCACCCTTCTGTTCAGGATGCAGTATCATTAATATGCCCAATTGTACATTAACCACCCTGTGCTGGTTCAGCGATGCAGTGCTGGTCTTGTCTTGGTGTCATGAGATTGAGGAGTAATAAACTGAAGTTAAATATTAACAAGATGGAGTCACTCTTGATCCATCATGATTCATCTTATCTGTCAAAAGGAAGACATCACCCCTGAGAGAGCAGGTATGTCGCTTGGATAACATCCTAGATAGGAGTATAATGAGTAATTGAAGGCAGGAGGACTTTCTGTTTCTTCATCAATTGCACTTTTATCTAGGCCATAATGATCTTATGACACCCAGTAATACATGTCCCCATTGCTATCTGCCTAAACTCCAATGCATTCTAAAATAGCTGAGAAACTTGCAATTAGTGCAAAATGCAGCTGATCACTGACTGACACATAGTAGCTGTCAGAATGTATAACATCAATGTTACATGTCCTACATTGGCCTTATGTAGGTTTTGATATGCAATTCAATTGGTTGATTTTGATCTATATCTCTTGGCGTGTAGTTGCTTATTGGACCACTGCTTTCAACCAGAATTAACTCAACTGATCTGCTGTTCTCAGAAAAAGCTATTAATTGTTACCTACTCCCATGAAACCAGGAGAGCTGATGGCAGGAATGGCTCTTATGCTGTTGCAACATCAGCCCTGTGGAATGATTTCTGCTCACCTCTATTGTCTATTCAGATACAAATAACCAGAGTTGGAAGGGACCTTGTAGGTCATCTAGTCCACGTCCACCATCACCCCGCCCAAGCGGGAGACCCTACACCATTTCTGACAAATGGCAGTCCGATCTCTTCTTGAATGTCTCAAGTGATGGCGCTCCCACAACTTCTGAGGGCAAGCTGTTCCATTGGTTGATTGTTCTCACTGTCAGAAAGTTTCTCCTTATTTCCAGGTTAAATCTCTCCTTGTTCAGTTTCCAACCATTATTCCTTGTCTGGCCTACAGGCGCTTTAGAAAATAGCTTGACCCCTTCCTGCCTGTGGCAGCCCCTCAAATATTGGAAGACCACTATCATGTCTCCCCTGGTCCTTCTCTTTACTAGACTAGCCAAGCCCAGTTCCTGCAACCATTTGTTGTATGTTTTAGCCTCCAGTCCCCTAATCATCCTGGTTGCTCTTCTCTGTACTTTTTCTAAAGTTTCAATATCTTTTTTATAATGTGGTGACCAAAACTGGATGCAGTACTCTAGGTGTGGTCTTACTAAGGCTTTATAGAGTGGTATTAGTACTTCCCTTGATCCTGACTGTACCCCTCTGTTAATACAAATTAGGATTGCATTAGCTTTTTTGGCGGCGGCTGCACACTGCTGGCTCATATTTAGCTGGTTGTCCACTAAGACTCCAAGATCCCCCTCACAGTTACTGCTATTGAGCCTGGTTTCACCCAGTCTGTATATGTATTCTCTACCACTAAGCCACCCTGGGTTTGTGTGGGAGGGGGAGGGCAGAGAAAGGCATACAGTGGGGATCCAACTTGTAAGAGGATAAAGTAGGGGTTCAGGAATGTCACATCACACTGATTCTTGGTACTAAAAGCTTTCTGTCTCACCTGACTTGTGTATATTTTAGTTCTAAGAAGTGCACAATTGGGATGTTTGAAAGTGAAGCATTAATCTTCAACATCATCTCTATTTCCAAGTTTATTTTTTCACTTTCTAAAACAGTTTCTGCAACCAAACACATTCTCAGAAAATAAAAATTGGAGGTATAGCGCAGTGCTTTATTTGTAGGTACGTCCACCTGATTAGACAGAAGGAGAAAGAATAAGCAGAAGAGACAATATCTTCTGGAAATGGAAGGTTTTATGAAGTGGTAATTGCTATTTCCATAAATTTGGTTTTGCAACCAGTTATGTCCCTGTAGTAAAAAAAAAAAAGTGAATGAGGTACCCCTCTCAGAAATAGTTTTGCTAGAGCTCCCCTGTCATATTTTCTAAACACCAAATGTGCTTGACCAAAAGCCGTTAATACAATGCACATATTAATAAAGGAATGTGGTTATTTTATCTGTCAAATTTTTGGGTAACACAGTGTCTTTAAATTATGTTGTATTGCTGATAGGAAAGTTTGCCAGCAAATTCAGTGTAGTCTGGGGCAGCGAGTGGGCTTGGCCCTCACAAAGCATAACATATGTTTTATGTGGAAAGAGGTGGTATTGTCAAGACATTTTTAACCTTTAAAACAATCATGTATCTGCAGCCTTGAGGCCTCCCCCAAGCATCTTCCTATGTTCCATGTTTCCTATTGTTATAACAAGTGAGCAGCCATTTGGTGCCAATAATACATACTGGAACAGGTGAGAGTATGTCCCATACTGAGCAAGTCTTGAGTTTTATTTTTTCTTCCTGGGTTTTTGTGCAGTGCTTTGGTGGGTTCTTTTAACTAGGAAAAAAAGTCTCTTTTCTGGTAGTTCTCAAGTATTTCCTCCTTTCAAATGGCATTATCTACGATACCAATTGGGAGGGGAGGGGGAGGAGGTTGGGGGATTCATAACCCGCACACCTCCGAGGAGCCTCCTGTTGCCCACCTCTTCATTACAAGTTCCTTTTCTTAGGAAATCATCAGCTGAGCTTCTGTAGATTTTCTTGCCAACCTCATTGCTCCCAGCAGAGTACACATCTAGCTGGCAATATTGCTTCCTCCGTCTTTCTCCTGCAAATCTTGGCAGCCCAATCTTCAGACACCAGCAAGTGGGGGAGCTGGAGGAAAAGACAGCCCAGAAAACCTCTCTAATTGCTGTGAGAGCAAAACATCAGCTCGGGAGTTGGGGGAAGCCAATCTCATGAAATAAAATCTTGCTTATTACACATGACCCATTTTTCACACTCTTCACAAACCGAGTGAGACGGGCAGATCCCCACACATGCTGCCCCTTCCCCAAGGATAGCTCACTTTTGAAAGGCTTCACTTCCCACCACCTTTTTTTTGTTATGGGCAAGGAAGCTCATTACTGGGGAATGTGGCTGTGTACAGCCTTTGAAACACTGGAAAGGTTTCAATCGCAGTTGCCCTGCAGCAAGATTGGAATCACCCAAACTGATCTAGTCAAATCAAGATTCAGATGAGGAACTGTGCAAATGCAGATTCTAGATCAGGGTTTGTTTGTTTTTTCAAACGTGGCCACTTTCAAGATACGTGGACTTCAGTTCCCTGAATTCCCCAGCCAACTAGGGATACATAATCTATTTGTGTATCATTTTTGTTTTGTTATCTAACTTCTCAAGTTTTTTCCCCACCTAAAAGTGTAATTGAATAGGTTCCTTGCATTGATCTTTGTATCTGATTGCATGACTTCAAGGTAAAATCTTGCTAACATATTCAGTTGACTAATTTTGAAGTTTAATCCATGTATTTGATATCAGCAATTCACAGTCTGTTGCACAGTCTGCATCTAAAAAATCCTGACTGACTGAATCACATTTATTCATATTCTGTTTCCTATTATTATATAGTCAATTTTATTCCAAAGTTATGCATTCAGTGTTGCTCTAATATAGAATTTCAGTTTATGTTGCCTGAAAATGTTGGCAATAAACTATGCCCTACTTATCCATGACTGTTCCTATGAAATCAAATGAGAGAGAGAGAGAGAGAGAGAGAGAGAGAGAGTGGCCACATTTATTTGTGGGTGAATGTTTAAGAATTTTGATTGTAATAGTAAAATCTAATGCAAACTAAACTTAAGGACAAAAGAATAGAA